GCCTCTCAAGCCCCACCCCCCCGCAACCCCCCGCAGGTGCGGCGCCGTCCTGCCGCCGGCGGACGTGCTGCAGCGCGTCGAGTTCAGCGCCGCAGCGCACGCCGCCAAGGAGGCCGCGCGCGTCGCGTCGGGCGGCAGCCAGGCGCCCCGGGTGTTCAACATCCCGACGTTCGTATACAACGTCGTCTCGAACGACGGCACTGAGCGGGGCTTTGTGTCAGATGCCGGCCTCAAACTGCAGATTGCCGAGATGAACAAGGCGTATGCAACGGCGGTCACGCCCGACGGCGTCGAGGGCACCTCGGCGGCCCGCGCGAAGATCACCTGGAACTTCAGCCTCCAGAACATCACCCGCATCAAGGCCGGCGACATGTGCGACTCGGCGGTCGAGAAGACGGTCAAGGCGGCGAGCCGCAAGGGCGGCAGGGGCGCGCTCAACCTGTACATAACCGACCTGTCGGCGTGCGGGCTGCTGGGGTACAGCACGTGGCCGTGGGAGCTGGAGCCCAAGGCCGGCAAGCCCAATGCGCTGATCATGGACGGCGTGGTCATACATTTCGAGACGCTGCCCAAGGGCACCTACAAGCCGTTCAACATGGGGCGCACCTGCATCCACGAGACGGGCCACTGGATGGGGCTCTACCACGTGTTCCAGAACGGTGGGCGGGGGTGGGCAGGGGCGGCGGGGGTGCGGCGCTTAGGCCGGCGGCGGCGGCGGGAAGCCACGGGGCAGCGATTGGGGCAGCGGCTGGTGCTTGGAGGATCACCGGGCCGATTGTCCTGCAGCTGTTTGCTGCGGGCGCGCGGGGCGCTGCTGCCGCACCGACGCCCGACTTCCGAGCGCCATAAGGCGTAGCAGCTGACCCCGTGCATGATGTGTTCGCTGCTCCCGCTCACTTCCCACCTCCCTTCACCCTCCGAAAACCAAACCTCTGATGCACCCCCCAACCAGGCTGCAGCAAGGGCGGGGACCAGGTCGACGACACCCCCTACCAAAGTGCCCCCACAGAGGGCTGCCCCAAGAGCCGCGACTCCTGCCCCCAGCCGGGCACGGACCCGTTTTGGAACTTCATGGACTACACGGATGACAAGTGCATGAAGGGCTTCACGCCGCTGCAGCACCAGCGGATGGCCACCTTCTGGGCGCAGCACAGGGGCCGGCGGTAGCCCCAGCATGCGCCGCGCGCGCGCACGCGCGCAGTCGGTCCCAGGCCGCCTTCCCTGCGGTAGCGACGTGGCTGCGCGCGCGCGCGCGGAGGCCGCAGGGCGCCTGTCAGGCGGCAAGCGCCGCGCCCCCTGTGGGGTGTTGGTCGTCCCCCCGTCGGGCGTGCTGGCCAAGTGTTTTGTGTGTTTTGAGTGGTGCCGAGCATCGGCCCTCTCAACTCGTCGCACGCGCCCTCACCCCCCAGCCGCTGCACACCAGATAGCCATGTGCACCCAACACTCCCTCGTTCTCGCCAGCGCCGCGCTGCGTCGCGCCGCTCGTCTCACACTCCTTGTATATGCAGTGCAGCTTGCGTGAAGGGGGGGGCTGTTTTGTGTGCTTTCCTCCAGGACCCCAGTCTCCAGGCCCGCACCCCTGGCTAGCCAGGCACGCCCTTTTGTCGCGCAAAGGCGCCCCCCGTCCCACCCTTTTCCCAGTCAACCCGGCGCTCAGCCGCGCTGCAGCTGCAGTTCTTGGGGCCGCGCCTGCGCGCCGCGAAGCACCCGCCTCCGCTGTTTTGAGGCGGAGCGGCTTGACGCCGCGCCTCGCACAGCACGAGAGGGTCGCGCCGTGAGCAGCGGCCCTGAGGCCCTTGCGCCACGACTTGCCGCTAGGACGCCCCCCCCCCCTCCAATGGCCACGCGGCGCGGCTCTCTGCGCCGCGGCTGCGAGCTTCGACCGAGCTTGCGGCTCGGGCAGCTAGGCGCTTTGCGCCTATGGGCGCGAAGACGGGCACATGCGCCGGCGCGCCGCGCACGGCGGGCATTGGGGTGCATGGCGCCTGCACAGCTTGCAAAGAGCTGCAACAAGCTCCTGCTGCCGCACTCCTGCCTTGTTGAAGTTGGCGCCTTGCAATCGCAGTTCCTCCCCCCCCCCCCTTATGGCGGCTGCCTCAGGGAGCCGTTGCGGGCTGCGCAGATT